CGTCACCCTGATAGCCATACCTTGTCACAGCCTAGAATTCGCCTGTGCTAGTTTTTTTTAATGCGAAAAAGAGAAAAACATAAAACACGAAGGAGATCATAGGGGAAATAGTTGGAATGCAAAAAAAAAAAGACAAGGCCCCTAAAGTAGGGATCCCCCTTAAGCAAACACACCATTCTCAAGTTCCCCCAACTAAAACACTCTTGCGCCGAAGGGCCCAACCATGGTCGATCACTGGATTTCTTATGTTTTCAGGAAAAAGATATCTTGCTCCAATCTACTTTGGTTTTAGAGCTTCTTCAGCACCACAGAGATGGACCAGAGGCGATGAGCGATGACTCAAGGTCAAGGATAATGTGGCCATAATCTCTCAAATGTTTTACCCCGCAAAAAAAAATCTCAAATGTTCTAACAAATTAGAATTGGAACTTATGTAAAAGTAAAGCATGGTAGAATTGCATGACCAAATAATAATTCAATGAGAAGTAAACAATAAGCAATGCTTCCACTACAATGAAGCGATAGCTATCGATCGAACACACCAGGCAATGAATCTACCAAAATAAGCAAAAAGAAAGATATCGAGTTTGGCAACTGGCAAATTCCACTATGTTGAAATCTCCACTGGTTGCTGAAGCCGGCAGTAGCAGTACAAACGCAGGCCGCAGACTCTCCTGTGCACTTCAGATAGAACCAACCACTCCTAGACATGCGACATCGATCAAACTAGCTCTGGATCGAAACCTGTAAATCTTTAAGCAGTTTTTGCCTAATAACAGGACTTGCAAACTTCAGAAGCATCTTCTTCACAAATGTACATGTCAGAAAGCCTATCCCTCTCACACGACATGTTAACAGGCACCAAACCGACCGGGGTATGGAAACATCGTCGGAAGCTTGCCATCCGAGCAGCCGACTACGGCGGCGAGCGACAAGAACGGCCGGCGTCAAAGAACTGGCCTTTGCTAGCATAGCCGCAGCAGTATATTCGCTACTAGAACAACCTGACATCAGCAAAGCCATAGCTAGCTGCTGGCGTTTCCTATCGAACAGGAGAAATAACCGCAACCAAACCTGAATTCGCCGGGTGAAAGAGGTCTCCCGTAGCTCGGATCCTCGCTTGTTAACAGAAAATGCGCACAAGAACAGGAGCGCCGCGCCGCCGCCGGCTCCGGAGACGCGCGCCGAGCGAGCTGGAATCGCCGCCAGCCGCCAGCGCTAGCTATGTGGATGGGGGAAGAGTACGCGACAAAGAAGGACGGAAGAGTTAACGGGGAGGAGGGAGGGAGCGGGGAGGAAGGCACCTGACCTGCAGCGGCGCCGGAGGCGGCGGCGAGCGGGAGCGAGAGGCGCTTCGTTCCTTTCGTGCGGCGCCGCCGTCAGCTGGTGAGTAGGGAAGTATGGGAGAGCGAGGGAAGCAGCAGCCGGCGGGTTTTATTAAGTTCGGGCTACATGGGCCGGGCCGAACTCTACAGCAGGATCACCACTTAATTTCTTGCTTCATTTTGGGAAAATTTTAATTCGTGCCTATTATATAGATGGGGTTTATGATCAAAACAGGTGAACCCTAGGCGCCGAAGAGATATTAGGTTTTCCGTCCACTCCGCCGCCGGTTCCCTCGCCTCGGAACTCTCCATGCAACCGAAAGGTGCGGGAATCGCGTGCGGATTTAATTTCTACCAAATTAGGTCTTTGTGACGTTAGCAGTCTCAAGGGTGAAGATGGTGTTGAAAGAATAAAAAGTTGCACAATTCTATTATCGTCCGCGCACGGTCGTTATTGTCGACGAGGTGGATATCGAAGAGCCTATAGTGTTTTGGTCATGTGGATCGACGGCTCTCGACATACGGTTTGTTGTCCAACGCTTCGACGTATGTCAATGTGATTATGGTGGTGTAAGTGTGATACAACAAAATCTTCTCCGGTTTATTTTTTTCCTATTTGTGATGGGCCCCCTCCTCCCAATACAAGTTGACACAACAATTTGACAACTTGCCTAGCAATGGGTGTATCCTTGCCATAGCGCATTCAACGATAGTAGGTTCTCACATATTAGGGTGGGTAGCTCATGCAACTTTTCCAAAACACTATTTCAACTTGTGCATGTTTTTTCTACGGTTTGTAAAAGGACATCTTGCTTCTTACGAGAGTTTTGGTGCTAATCCACAAAGATACATACTGGGAGGAACCCAATGTCCTCGGGCATTAGCGCTTCCTAGTCGTCGGATCTGGTCCTTGATGCATTCTCGGCCGCCTGATCTCGCCCTTGGATGACAGCGTCCGTCGGATAAAAAACGAGCACTGTAGATCAAAACAGTGTTGAAATCCGGTGCCACCGCCCGTAAAATTCGTGCCCCATCGAGGGCATTTTTGAGATTTCACATACCGGACGACAGATGGCTTCCCTGATTCCTTCCTCCCCTCCTGTGTGTCATCCTCTTCCTCCCCTCACTCCCCTTCCCTAACCTAGCTCCCGTCCTCTCTGCCTCCTCCCTCCCGCCGCCGACATTGCTCGTCCTACTCCCATCCTCTTTGTCTCCTCCCCTCCCATCGCCCATCCGCCCTGGCCCATCTCCTCCCTGATAACCCACAAGTATAGGGGATCGCAACAGTTTTCGAGGGTAGAGTATTCAACCCAAATTTATAGATTTGACACAAGGGGAGCCAAAGAATATTTGAAGGTATTAGCAGCTGAGTTATCAATTCAACCACACCTGGAGATTAATTATCTGCAGCAACGTGATCAGTAGCAAATTAATATGATAGTTTTGATAGTAGTGACAGTAGTAACAGTAACGGTAACATTGATAGCAGTAGTTTTGTAACAAGCGCAACAGTAATGATAGCAATGGTAACTTAGCAAGAACAATATAAGGTGAATTTGTAGGCATTGGATCGGTGACTTGTTGGATGATATTCATCATGAGACAGTTATAACCTAGGGCGATACGGCACTAGCTCCAGTTTATCAATATAATGTAGGCATGTATTCCGTAAATAATCATACGTGCTTATGGAAAGAACTGACATGACATCTTTTGTCCTACCCTCCCGTGGCAGCGGGGTCCAACTGGAAACTAAGGGATATTAAGGCCTCCTCTTAATAGAGTACCGGAACAAAGCATTAACACATAGTGAATACATGAACTCCTCAAACTACGATCATCACCGGGAGTGGTCCCGACTATTGTCATTCCGGGGTTGCTAGATCATAACACGTAGTAGGTGACTATAACTTGCAAGATCGGATCTAGAACATGGATATAATGGTGATAACATAAACGGTTCAGATCTGAAATCATGGCACCCGGGCCCAAAGTGACAAGCATTAAGCATGGCAAAGTCATAGCAACATCAATCTCAGAACGTAGTGGATACTAGGGATCAGGCCCTAACAAAACTAACTCGATTACATGATGAATCTCATCCAACTCCTCACCGACCAACGAGCCTACGAAGAAATTACTCAATCCCGGTGGGGAGCATCATGGAATTGGCGATGGAGAAGGGTTGGTGATGACGAAGAACGAAGATCCCCCTCTCCAGAGCCCCAAACAGACTCCAGATCTGGCCTCCCGATGAAGAACAGGAGGTGATAGTGGCTCCGTCTCATGGATCACGATAATTCTTTCTCCCTGATTTTTTCCTGGAAATATGTGATTTTATAGTATTAGGGTTGAGGTCTGCGAGGCCACCAGGTGGGGACAACCCACCTGGGCGCTCAAGGAGGGGGAGCGCACCCTGGTGGGTTGTGCCCACCCAGGTGCCCCCCTTCGATTGATCTTGGCTCCAAAAATTCTCTTTATTGATATAAAAAATCCTCACAAAGTTTCATTCCATTCCGAGAACTTTTATTTCTGCACAAAAACAACTCCATGGTAGTTTTGCTGAAAACAGCGTCAGTCCGGGGTTAGTTTCATTCAAATCATGCAAATTAGAGTCC